GTGACTAGGTAGCCATGTGAGCTTTGAGCTGATCGTTTTCTTCTTGTGTGCTTAGATCCCTCTTACCATGTTGAGTAACATCACAGTTGTCACTAGTGAGTATGATGGAGGCATATGATTAGTTCACGCCCAAATGTTGATTGTCCCGAAATGTGTCATCCCTTAGTCAACCCTTTGAGCTTTGTGACTTCGAGGGTCGTTCTTAAAGTAGGAGCGTTGTGCTTGTGAGTTTAATGGTGTTGATAGCACGAACCCCAATCCTTTCTTCGTGTCTAAACATGAGTCATCCTTGTGTCTCGGAGCTCTTGCTTTCGAGTTCCATTGAGGTTCTACATAGGAGGATTGTGTGCGGTTCTTGTTAGGAATGAAAAATGAAGTGTAGTGTTGGAGTGAGTTCTTGAAAAGAGAGCACTGGTCGTTAAATGTACAGGTGGCAAAGGTTTTACTCTCTAGTATCCCCCTCAAAAGGAAAAGAAAAGATAAAAGAAATAAAAGAAAAGAAAAGAGAAACGAAAATGAGGTAATTAAACAGGGTAAATAAAGTAGAGAGTGCCTCGAAAAACCAAAGTGTATGCTCTATAAGGGTTTCTTGGAACTTAAGCCATTGAACCCCCCCCCCCCCCCCCACCCATCATTTTAGAAATCCTTGACTACCAAACCATAATGTGATAGGAAGAGTAGACCGAGGAAGAGGGCTTAAATGTGGTTCAGGATGGGTGATAGTTTGGAAGGGAGAGATAAGATTTTTGGCCGATGCTAGTGGCCTTTGGTTGAAGAGAATGGTCTTAGTCGAAACCATAGAACCTTCGAGTTTAGGTTGAAGATGTAGAACCTCATGTCATGTTTGCCACGACCCAAAAAGCCTTTTCCCCATCTCCAAGACAATTGCCAATCATTTGAACTAGTGTCTAAGACCTCCGGACAAGCTAGTGGTGACAATCATCCCGTGAACTCTAGCATTTAGAGGTTACCGCCGTGGTATTGAGACGATAGGGCCGAGTGTTAATGATTGTGCACATCTTTTGTACCAAAAAAGGTCCCGACCCCACTGGTCTTGAGAGTGAGTGATTCATTCTTGCTTTGCATGCCATATCATCCCCAATGATGACCTTTGTTGCCTTTCCATTTGTTCCTCGGACATGAATTATATGCATGGTTAGTTGTGGTTGATAAGTGGTCTTGTTGAGACTTGCATTGATCCATGAACAAGGTGAGAACTTTTCGTTTGTCCACTTTTGGTGGCCTCGAATGTCGTTTGTGGTGGATGTCGGTATCGCATGCAACGACGGTCCATGTATTAATTGCCAATAGCCATTTAGAATTACCACTTTGTGCCCTTTGAGTTGTTCCCAAAGTATTTGTGTATGTTGAAATATTACCTTGAGGGAAATAGTTTTCTTGGGGACAAGCAAACGTCTAAGTGTGGGGGGGGGGGGGTGATTCGGGCCTAATTGTACATATTTTACCCCCGTTTTCCTTAGGCGTTTGTGGCAATTGCGCTCCTAAAAGGTTGGTTTTAAGTGAGGTTTCTTGTGTTTTAGCATGTTTCAGGATTTAACAGGTGAAACCAGTCCCAGAGTCGAAAGTTGGACGAAAAGGAGCGAAAACCGGGAGAAGAGGTGAAAAACTGGTAGTTCACTGTTTCGCTTGGAAGTTCACGGTCTGCTACGACCGTGAGGAGGAGCAGTTGCCCGTGAACACCAAGGCGTCCAGGGCCAAATCTGAAGTTACTAACGTTAGGCGAGTTCACGGTCACTAAGACAGTGAATTGAAGTGTTGCCCGTGAACCTGTGCAAACGAAGCGGTGCGTTTCGACGCCAACCTTAAGTTCACGGACGCGTTCAAGAGTTCACGGTCGTGAACTGAGCCCGATCCCTATTTATCGGGAGAGCTTAAAGGAAGGGAGAGGAAAGCCAAAGAGTGAGAAAGTGTCTTCTTCTTCAGATTTTAGAGAGAGAGAGAGAGAGAGAGAGAGAGAGAGAGAGAACAAACTAAAGAAGAAAGAAGGCTAGGGTTTGCTCCAAGTGGTGAATTAAGAAGATTCCCCCCAAGAGAATATCAACACAAGCTCAAATGAGATTGGAGGCATCACCATGATGGTTTCTACCTCTTCCTCTTGTGTTCTTCCCCTTTCTAACATGGAGTAGTTTCCTCTTTTCACTTGGGTGTTGTAAAACCCTAACTATTTGCCATGTAGTTGTTATGTGATTGAATGATTGTTTATGGGTGTTGATTAATTCAATGATTCATGCATTTTTCATGTTGATTGTCCATGTTTGTGCTTAGCAATCTAATTGGCCATTCTAACCTAGATTAGAGGGGAAACCCCCCTTTCAAGGGAGGCTCAATTGAGTTGGAATCCTAGGGCTTCTTAAAACACCTATCTAGTTTAGTATAGGGCAAACCTCTATGTTGAATTAAACAATTTGGTTAAGCGCGATTAAGCCGACCAACCATTGGTTGAGTGCGGGAGTAAGTCAATCATCGATTGCCTTAACCAAGAGGGCCACTTGAATAGCCTATAATGTATCCCTTGGCAGTCCCCTAGCAGTTCGGGTCACCTTGCCCATAACAATCACTTCGATTCACATACCATGGTAGTAGTTAGGGGGAAACGACACCTGAGTGATCCTTCTAACAAAGAGCTTTCAAAACCATTTACTTTTGCATTGCTTTACTTTAATTAGCAAACTTTTCTATTCAAATGACTGAAGTAGGGGTACACGGACCGACCCGAGTCGATATTTAAACATACTTGCCCTGTATTACACCCGACTAAGGTTTATACTTGGACCTTAGGCGGGAATCAATTGTGATATTCGGAGTGAGTCACCTCTTCTCTCCGTCTTCTTCCCCAAATATCTCTCTCTTCTCTCTAGGACACCACCCATGGATCTAAACCGTACCAACCATCACTTGCTCAACCGTCGACACCTTCTTTCGTCCGTAGCTATCGTCTATCACCATCTGACCAAGATTGAATCGCCATGAACGGTAGCGCGCTGATCAAGCTTGTATAGAGACCCAGATTCAATAGCCTAATGCAACTCCAACCCACATTTCCTTTCCGGTTCTTCTTCTTCTTCCACCTCCTCCAAAATGATATCTAATAAGAGGGGAGAGTCGTTAGAGAAGTTATTCTCGGGGGCTCGACGAGAACAGTGATGAATCATCTCTTTCTCTTCCCTTGTCACCGGTGATGAATCATCTTCTCCCTCACTCATTCTCGGCGCGATGATGACATCTCTGACCCCACCATCTCTGCCATATCCGACCCTCGCCCATCCTGGCCTCAATCGCGGCTCCTTCGTCGACGATCTTCCCAACGCCCAACTGCGCAATAGAGAAAAAACAATTGGGTTTTTAATTTTCGCCAGATAGAGGTTGGCTTGCGAATCACGTGGTTGAAGAGAGAAGGAGAGAAGATGGAGAAAATCAGAGGACTATATAATGACACCGGTTTTCAGGATAACCGGACAATAACCATTAACCGGTGTTGCCAGTTAGCCGATTAATCGGTTGTTTTTGGTACTAGTTGTCTGTGGCAAATATATGCATCTCGGTATACCGATAACCGGTAATTCAGTAATTGGTTTAACCGGATACCGACCGATTACCAGCCCTCGTCGGCTCTCCGCATGATGGCGATATAATAGGAGGCTGACGATGGCCATTATGACTCCGATGACTCCGATGGTGAGGGCGAACACTAGAGAGTAGGGTTGGGAGAAAACCCCACTAAATCGAGTATCCCCCGAATCCGAATAGGTCAACATGGGTAAAACTGACACTGATTGGACTTTTGACGAGTTCCGATAAAACTCAAATATGTAGTTATCAGCAAGGGAAGGGTAGGGATATTCTAATATGCGTCCCGAACCGGCCTAGTACACCAATACTTAGATACCCCATTGGCCCATCGACTTCTCACTTCTTGAATCTCGTTCTCACTTTCAACCTTGTCCCGTCATTCTCCCAACTCCACATTTTCTGAATTACCATTCCCAACCCTCCTCCAATGCTCTTGACTCCTCGTCTTCTCATAGCCATCGAATCAAACTCCACTAGTTATTAGATTAATTCTTTTTCTCAAAGCCAAAGCCTTTTACCGTTGAAGAATGATTGACAAATAATCTCGCAATTCTTTGATTCTACTAGCAGCGATTCCCATCTCTTTAGTCTTTATAGTAAAAGTAACTACATCTCAAGAGACCTCAATGAAGAGGGGTTACAGTCATTCAAATGCGTCTACATGTTTTTATTGACGAGAACCTCAATGAAGAAAAATTGTAGCATAGTACTTTTTCTTGTGTATAACATATCCGTGGGTATGTGGATACCCACCCGATATCCATGATTTGTGAATATCTTCCACAAAAAGATGAGGTCTTTGGTGGACAACGCAACTACGAAGGTAGGAATTATCATTAAGAAGCCATAGGATTTTGAAGAGGACATTCTTTCATTTTTGAAAATGACAAATATACCATCTTTTTAAATTAAATATTTAATTGTGGTCAACTCATTTAAAAAAATCATAAAAATAAATAAAAAAGTTATCAAGACAAATTTTTTCATTGGCTAGAATTACTATTAACATGGTGTTAAAAAAGCTAGCAAGCTAACCCTTCCCAAATCCCAACGATTAGGATTTTTGTTAATGATTTTTATATTTTTACCAATTTAACGTTTAATTAATTTTAACAAGCACCTAATCTGACTCCAATAGCATTATCCTTCCTCCCTTCCCTGTTTCTCCCTCTCCCCTGTTCCTTCAGCTTCTCTTCCCTTCCTCCCACGTATGCTTCCGCCTTCTCTCTTTCCCTGACATCACAACTGACAACAATCCCTGGGATCCCTCTTCGTTCCATTAAAAATAAAATTATCATCTTCGTGCAGTTACGTTTTTTCCTCCGTACATATCTCCATCTCCTCTGTTCAGTCGTCTCTACATTAAACAGAGCGGTGGCGGGTTAGCTGTCTGTTGAACACTCACAGCTATGGGTAATTGGAAGAATCGCCCGTCTCGGAGATGGTACTATAATCAAGATAGACGGCCTCCCAAATCGTATTACTATCATCAGCCTCCTCCTTATGAAGGTCTAAGTTATAACTCTCGTCTTTGTTCTTGTGCTTTTGCTCCTGTACCGCCCAATCTCGATGAAGTTACTTTCTTTCTCCAATTAGACCTTAGACTGAATCAAATCAGCCTTTTGTTTTTGCCAATTCTTGATTTGGGTATTCGCGATTGTCCTGTTTGCGCGGGTTGTGGCTAGTTGTTGTTGCTGGGGTTTCCACGTTGTGTCTTCTGTGTTATGAGGAATCAAGTTTAAGCCCAGGGTGGTCTTGTAATGTTGGCGATTTGTTTTTTTGGTTTTTTTATGTTTTGTTCATATCGGATATATTGAGAAAGTTGTTAATGCTGAGAGGATGCGATAAGATATAGGCATTCATATTAATTATGATCCTCCTAAGGAAAGGATGTGAGGGTTTTGGGAAATGATGAGAGGATTTCTGGAATTGACCTTCCGTTTCCATATTATGCCGTTTATGTCTAGCATGGTGAAGGGTGCGGAAGACCAATAAATGGAAATAGTAATAACAGATTGCTAAACTTGTATGGTTTCAGATTTTGATGTCCCGGGTCCTGTCCGCAATGTTATTGACAATCGTCATAACTTTAATGTTATTAACAGAGATCACTGTCCTGTACAGCTCTTTCATGACAACTTGGTGTTTAGTTTGTCTGTTACTAGATTTCTTTGTCGCCCTTTCGTTATAGTCACATTGTGTGCTTTAAGCTATGCTGCTCTTTTGACCAGTATAACAGTGATGAAAATCACCTGGTATGAATCATTCATTTGTGCAATTGCTTAATGAACCAGTGTTGGTCCTGTTCCTGCTATTGATTGACGTTGTTTGCATGAAGCTTGTCGACATGCCAGTGATTTTGTGTTAAATTGTGGGGGCTTGTTTCGTTGTGTTGGAGGATGGCAGATCTTCACACTTGCCATTTTTTTGTATGGAAGATTCTTGATTTTATGAAACTGTGAGCAGCTGAATTTCTCTTTGGTGTATCAGGATACTAGGGATAGAATGTAAGAGTTCAGAACTGAATCAAGAGAATTGCATCGATAAAAATGAAGTCCATGTGTAGTTATTTCGATGATAGTAGCTGTCTAATTCTGTAGTAAGAAAATACCTTATTGTTTTGTTGATATTGGTCCGTCTTTTTAGTAAGATTGGATCTGACTAGCATTTTTTTTTAGATTATATTGATGATGGTGTACCTGTATGGGAAAAGGAGTTCTGTTATGCTGTTGGTGCAGTACCTTGGCATAAAGTTGTAGATGCTAAGAAGTTCTCTTACTCCCAAAGCCAGATTCTCAAATGGGATGACTCAGCCGGTAAAGAGGCATTTCATAATGCTAAAAACCGTTACTGGGCAGTTATTAATGGTCTCTCTTGTGACATACCTCCACCGGATCCTGATGCTTGTATAGATGAAATTAATTGGAACCCTTATATTGACCCTGAACTGATTCGTGAATTGGAGCAAGAGTATTATGCTCCAGTTGATGATGAAGAGATGAACTTTGGTAATATGAAGAAAAAGACCAAGAATATGTTCTCTGATCCGCTAGAAGGTTGTAGTATGAATCCCGCAGAAGATGTGGGGAACCGTTGGGAGACTCAGAACTTTGTACTGGGCAGTAGTGCTGCTGTGACTGCTGGATGTCAAGGCTGGGGAGATCAGTGGGATGATAACTTGAAAGAATCTAATGATTCAAATAAAGATGATAATAATCCCTGGGAGAAGGCCCGCCATCAGGGAGATGAAGCTGTAGATGGGAGTGGGGGCTGGCCAGTTGTAGGCGATGATTCATGGGGATGGAACACTTCTGTCCATGTTGCTCCACAGTCGAAGGATTGGGTGAACGGGGGCAATACTTGGGAGGGCAATGGTGCAGCTACTGCTGTCCCTTCTAAGGCTGATGGTTGGGGTGAATTTGGGGATGGGTTTTGGGGTCATAATGAACATCAGCCAAGGAAATGGAACAATGGTCAGCAACCTAGCGAATGCATCTTTCAAGCTAGTGGCACTCTGAATGAGAGAGGATGGAGAAATAATAGCAGCAGTCAAGCATGGGCGAGGAAACCATGGGATGAAGATGCTGCCGAGGAATCCCAAAAATCCAACTATAGGAAGACGAACGTTGGTTGTTGGAGAACCTGGAATAAGGATTCCTGGAGGAATGAAGGCGGCAATCAACATGGAACAGGATACAGCAGGACAATACCTAGGTTTGATGGGAACTACGATAATCGAGCGGGCGGTCACCATTGGAGGGGTAAGAAGAGGGCAAATTTTGGTTATAACTAAGGAAAAGCATTTTGTATAACAATATAGAATGTGCCCTTTTGTTATGTGGGAATAGAGTCTTGTGGGTCGTTGTGTGTATGGAAAAAGTGTTTCATGGCTGCTAACCATCTCTATCATCCAAGTGTTAACCGTGTTTTAAGCTGATCATGATGCAATTCAGCTTTCTGTGTTTGATTTCGCAGTTTAGTCTGGTGTCTGAATTCGTTCAAGTCAAACATGATGACCTGTAATGTGGATGACTGATAGTCACCTACTCACCTTTCCATAGCTATAGTAGTGAAAGATTCAGTTAGAAAAACAAACTATTTTCCACAATCATAGGTAAACATAATATATTAGCTAGAATTATTAAGAAACGGGAAATTATAGCCACAACTATTAATATATAAATTATTATTCATAACTATTGTTGTGCGTAAATGAATGGTTAACAATTTGTTACAGTTATTAACTTTGTAACGGAAAAGGTGTGAATAAATGAATGGCTAACAGTCCGTTACTGTTATTAACTTTGTAACGGAAAAGGTCATGCCAGCAGCCACATCACCTTTCACCATGGTCCATGAAAACGTACCGGATATCGTGCCAGAAAAGTGAGCGGGATGATATTTTATGATCAACCCGTGGTTTAACCGTTAGATCGTTAAATACTGCCTACCGATTTAGCCTCCAATACTGGTATTTCGTGGTTGAACCGCCGGTACGGTACGGTTTCATGGACCATGCCTTTCACATCAGATTAGTTTTTATTTATAATTTTCAAACATAAGAACCTGAAAAACAAAACCCAAATGGAGGGTCCAAGCCTTGCTTTCCCCTCATCTCCGTACTCTCCCTCTGCCACAACTGCTTCCCGTTTATCTACATCGTCTGGCCGAAATCCTGAGTCGCCGTCGATGATAATAATAGCGATTGGGTGCGGCAAAGGTGGAAGGAGAGGAAGAGGAAGGATGGGGGAAAACCCCAATTTCAGAGCTTCCTAGAATTAGGATGTTGTCGTTGATAACAATGGTGATAAGGTACGACAGAGGGGGGAATAAGAGGCAAGGGAAGGCTGGGGGAAATGACATCATGCTGCTTCAAACTCCTGCTTCATATCAAAATCAATAGCCTAAAATCCATGGTGCTAGAGATTGGACATCAACTAATGGTTGGTGAGAATACGAGTATAATAAAAGAAGACAGATCTATGGGTAGGTGGGCGGGTGGGTTTGGCGAATGGATTGAAACCCCACTAACTTGTTCTAACTACAACATCCCAATCGGCGGCCAAGTATAACCGCCGACCGGGTGTATCATAGGGCAAGCAAGCAATAAGAATTTATCGTACCACGGGGATCTAGGCTTACCCTACTTTTTAGGGTTCGTTATCAAGCCAACCTAGGATGGTGATTAGAAGAATTAAACTAACTAACCTAGCTAACCACTAACCTAGATATTTACAAGGTTTGGAGCTCTCTTGGGTTGAATCGTCCTAGGTCCGTTCTTTGGATCAATGTTGGGTATCCTCCTAGTTAGATTGACTCAAATACACTACCGTTTGGAGATGGACTCCCTCGGGAGTGACCCGACACAAGGAATCGATGGATGGGTAGTGTTCTATTCAACCTAGAATTTCGTATAATGCTAGGAGACTGGTCTAATAAAATATATCGGGGACTACCCGGACAATATACTATAAGAGAGACCCGAAGACGCCAAAAGGGGGTTTAAGGGGATTTATCTCCCTCCTAGGTCAAAAGCTCAATACATGAAAATGGAAATACAACTCATGCCAATCATGAAAACATCCATCAATTAAGTAAAATCATCAATCAACCATGGAGTTTGTCACATACATCAACATTAAATCCAAATCTAGACCTAGGGTTCTCAAAATCAAGAGAAGAGGGTGAGTTTCGAGAGAGAGAGAGGGGGGGGGGGATTACAAAGAAACCTCTAGATTTTCTTCTTCTTATAGCTTGATTCCTAGCTTCCAAGCTTGATCAATGCCTTCAATTAATCTCCAAAATCACTCCCTCTCTCACTAGAACTCCCCTTTGGTGTTTTGGGCAAACCCTAGAGAGGGATTGAATTTCTCTCCAAAAATCAGCTCTACCTTCTCTTTCCCCGCTGCTGTCTTCATATTTGCCCGAAAGTGAGAAGTTCACGGACGCATTGGCCAGTTCACGGTCGTGAACACCTAAACGGGTCCGTGAACTCAGTCGTCTCCAAAACGCACCGCTTCACTTTCCTGGGTTCACGGTTAATGGTCCCAGTTCACAGTCTTAGCGAGCGTGAACTCCCTTGGCGTCAGTAACCTCTGAAACCTCGCTGGACTGCTCGATGTTCACGGTTTGTGGCTCCAGTTCACGGTCTTAGAAGACCGTGTACTGCATCGCTGGACCGTGAATTGCGGCTACATCCTGAACGCCTGCACTTCACTGTTACGAGGTACTTATCTTTGGTTTTTGCGCTTTTTGACCTCCAATTATCCCAAAATCCGACCTCGGCCCTTCCACACGCGCTAGGACCTAAAATGTATCAAAACAAGCAAAACCTAGCGTGAAATATGTCGAGGAACGATGTAATGCAAAGCCAAACGATCAAGATATGAGGGGTAAAATGTGTACATTTGGGTCCGAATCACTCCCCCACACTTAGATGTTTGCTTGTCCCAAAGCAAACCAAGTACAAAACAAGGTAAGCTTACAACTTCTCTTTTTCAAAAAAAAAAAAAAAAATTGTGGCATGTTACAAGGCAGAAAAAGAATGAATCACAATGGTTATTTGACACCGACCTAAGGACAAAAACAAAGTAATCTAGCCAACCACCATAAACGACCTTCAAATGTATTAAGATTGTGCACAAGAAGAGTTCTCACATTATTCATAAACCAACACACAACATGCCTCAGAAGACTCACCAATCACAGTTGCTCATGCATGAAGATCACATCATAGGAACGATCAAGCAACCTAGGTCCTCACCGGGGTAAAAGAAATGAACAAAACATGATGAATGAATCATTCACTCTCGACTAGTGGGTTCAGGACTATTTGATGCAAAGGATGTGCATATTCACGCTCAATCCTAACGTCCCTTTACCATGACGGTAACCTCTAAATGTTAGAGTTCACAAGATGGGTGTCGTTGCTAGTTTGTTCGGAGCTCTTAGACACGGGTTCAAATGACTGGCTAGGGTCTCAGACATGGGGAAAAGGCTTTTTGGGTGGTGACAAACATAACATAACGTTCCACATCTTTATCCTAAAACCACAAAAGGTTCTCAGGTTTCAATTAGAACCCTCTCCTATACTCAATGGCCACTAGTATGGGCCAAAAACAACACTTCACACCCTTCCAAATATTCTCTGCCCCTGCCACCGCATTTTGGCTCATTTACGGAATTGCCCTTGTTTTGACTTCATTTTGAAACAAAAGTCGAGAAAACATTTCACCGGGCTTCAAACTCGTGTCCTCCAACAATTAAGAGTTTTTAAACCGGTTCTTAACCCAACTGGGCTACGCAAGCAACATCTGTACAATAGATTTATCCATATATTTTTATACTTTCGTTTCTAATGTCCTTAATACGAAATTCATAACAATCTCTAAGTTAGGTCAATTCCATCCATTTCAAATACGCTAAATATTCCTTCGTATTTCAAAATTAAACAAAACTTTTTATTTGAGAACCACGACTAGTGGAACGTGGTATAAAGTCATATTAAAATTACCAAAATCTAACGAACTACGTGGACTTTGATCCCGTCTAACGGGTACGTAGGCAACCGATAAGGTTCGAGTCCAACCAACTAATTAATTTTATATTCAATTTTTATGTCAGTGGGTGTATAATTAAATTGGGTTAATTGCATGGCTGGTCACAGAGATTACAAAAAACGTTCAAGTTTGGTCACTCAAAATATTTAAATCCATTGATGGTACTTCAGTTTACTGAAACCGTTCACGTTTGGTCACTCTCCGTCCAACTCCGTTAACTTTGGCTGATGTGGCAGTCAACTCTCAAATTTGACCGTTAACTTAGTGACGTGGCAACTAAAAAATTATTAAAAAAAAAAAATTATAGTTTTCACCTCATTATTACATTCATTAAAAAATGATAAAAAAATATTAGGTTTTATATTTTTTTTATCATAACACACCCACCATCAATTTCCACCGACCATACCACACCATTAATTGCCATCCGCCATTAATTTTCCATCTAACTGACAACACATCCATTCTCTCCATCCACTGTAGCACACCAATTTTCCATCTAACTTGTTCCACATAAGCTCGTATTCGGCATTTGAAACAGAGCCAAAGACTGATCAACAACGAACAATTTTGCAAGGAGAGCTCCAAAGGTAAACATAAAAACTCACCAAGATCAAAAGGGCAAGCCAAGCCATGTGAGGCATGAATATTGACTTTAGCTCAGAGAGGGAAGACAGAGTCTGAGAGTTTGGCGGTTGGAAAACTTGATTGGACTTTAGGGTTAGCGGTGAGGCGAAATGGAAGAAGAAGCTCATCTCATAGGGTTAGAGTTAGGACGGCGAGAAGATGAAAGGATAAGAAGCTGTATTCGGGGGATCCAGATGGAACCACGAACTAAATAAGAGAAATGGAACCGTTTCGCGCCGGCCGTCGCCGCCTCGTGCTTTGCGAGAGGGGTCGATTTTGATTCTATAGGAAAGGAGAAGATATGGCGTATGGTGTCTGCAGAAGACGGAGATGGGTTGCGGAGGCGGCGACGAGGGATTCGATTTCCCCAGATGACGAAACGAAATCGACCTCGATTCGCCCATGCCGGCTTCAATTGAATCGAAGAAGAAAGGGAAAATAGCTGGAACTTTTAAGCTGAAGAAGAAAGGAGAGGTGGAAGGAGAGATCGAGAATAGCTGGATTTTCCAGGGATCCGATTGCTGAAGAAGGGGAAAGCGAACTAGAGAAGAGAAACGGGAAGATCGACGGGGCTCGGCAGCAGATGAACGGAGAAGGAACTTGAACT